GTAAGAACTCTTGGAGTCTCTTTTTGCATCTGAGGACTCTAGTTCCTAAATCAAAGAGACGGATGGCAATTAGGTTCTCAGGCAGGGGAGCCTTAAACCTGCACCTTTCTTTCTCATGTGCAGATGAGTGAGAGAACCTACATGTGGGTCCTATTGGGATCTGGGTTTAGGAAGCTGTTCACCTCCTTCCTCTGTGCCTGGGAGGATCCTTACTACCCAAGAAGGCCTGGCTCCCCCAGAAGTCCCCCAGGATGCCCTAAACACTCAGAGCCCTCCCTCCACACACTTTGGCAGCCCCCGGTTTTTCAGGAGGTGACGGGGAGTGGGTGTGGAGAGAAGAGAGAGGTACGGGCTGTAGGGAGTACAACTGTGCAGAATTAAGGAATCACTCTCTGCCGGGCATGCTGGTGCACATCTGTGATCCCAGCACTGGGAGCCTAAGGAAGGAGGATCACTGTGGGTTTGAGGCCAGCCTGGGCTACACAGTGAGTCCAAGGCCAACCTGAGCTACATAGTGAGACCCTGCCTTAAAAAAAAAAAAAAAAAAAGAAAAAGAAAAAAGAATAAGAGCACTCTCTGTGAGAGCTGGAAAGGATCCCAGAGATTAGCTTGTGGAGTTGCCTCATTTTACAGGTAAGGAAAATGAGATTTAGTGATACTTCTAGAGTTACACAGCAAGCGGGCTTCTCTCTAGCCCTTCTGACCTGGTTCAAGTCTTTGACATTGCTCCCCTGGACTGTTGGATAGCTTCGTATGGCAGATAACACTTTCCAAGGTGGTTGTGGCACTATGTCCCATCACACATGCTTTTCTCCTAATATGACAGTGACACCCTTCCATTGAGAGGTGGGGGTATGTGTTTCTTTTTTTTTTAATTTTTTTTATGTGTTTCTTTTTCAGTCTGATGGGCTGTGATTACAGAAGTTACTTTATGTGACTTTCAAGGGTACATTATTAAAGGGGGCTAGGTGCTCCCTGGTCTTATTTTGGGGTGTTTGCCCTCACACCCAGCCATAGTGTGGTGAAGAAGCCAGGTGGGCACCAGCCTGAGGTGAGGTCCTAGGGACAGCGTCCACCACCAAACACAGGGAAATACGCCTTCTACTCCCCTGTCTGGTGTGAATCTCCCCAAATCACAGGTCCATGAGCAAAATAAAGGCTGTCATTGATGTGAGCCAGTCAGTTTCAGGCTGGCTGTTAGGCAGCAGTGGTTAACAGAATCACCTCCTGTCTGCCCGTTTCTCTAAGCTTCTGTATGCGTTTCATCAATTCATCCCACCTTTATTAGCTACCGGGTCTGTGTTAGGACAAAGGCAGGCGTGGTTTTCCACACTTGTGAACAGTATACTTCAGTTGCCCCCGCTGTCCCTGCACTGTGTCCCCCTTACACACAGACTAGAATTCATGTTCCTCAGCCCTCTGCCCCACCTCAACATCCCTGTTTGGCCCCTAGACACGATCTCCACTCTGCAGTCTCTGTTGTACATTTGCTCATGTCCCGCCCCCTGCGGGGCTTCTGCCCTGTCTCACCTGGACCTTCGAAGACCTGCTCTGAAGCCTCCTCCCATCAGCAGGCCCTCTCAGCTCCCCCTTTTGAAACAAAGCAGGTCTTCCTTGCCATCCCACAGCGCTCAGTCTCACCAGGCTGGGAACCCGGGCGGAGGGAACCGGCTTATTCTTCCTGTCCCTGCCACCCAGCGTCTGGCACAGGGCCCTGCACACGGAAGGTCTCCAGGAAACAGTTGTGGATGCAACTCTAGAAACAGGACTGGAAACACAAGTTGGTCAAATCCCAGTCTCTTGCGCCTTACTTCCGATGTGAAGAAGCCAGGACAGTGTCTCTCCAGTGTGGGTGTGGGGTTGGCGGGGGAGACTGTAGAATGGGCCAGGAGCGCTGCAGTGCAGCTGCAGTGACTGAAGGGAGCCTTGGCTCCTGGCTATGGGCTTGGAGTGGGTTCCTCCCTCTCTCCCTTCCTTTCTTTCTCTTCCCTGCTCGCTTCCAATAAGCCCTAAGCACCTGCTTCCTTCAGCGATAACACACTGCTCCTTGGTTCTCTTCTTTTCTCTAACTCCAGTTCTTATCTGAAACCATTTGAATTCTCAAAAGCCAGCTGCGTGGAGAAACCTTACAATATAAGCTTCCCTCTGAAGACTAAGAGACTGTTCTTGCTGCTTCCTCCCCTGGGGTTTCCTAGGAGCCATTCCACCCTAGGCTGTCTCTCCTGCGTCCTCCCGACTGGAACTGCTTCCCAGTCCCCTGTGCGTGTTACTTGGTCTCCTGGACCTGATTTGCTGTCTTGCCTGACTGCTCCTTGGGGGGCCCACCAGCAGCGCCCAGCTTCCACTTGTTCTTTCCTCCCAGGAAGTCCTGGCCCGGCTCCCTCAGACTGAGCAGGAGCAGGGTGGGGTGGGCAGGATGTTTTCTGCAGACTTTTCCCCCTAAATTGTCTCTTTCTGGGAGCTGGGAGGAGCCTGTGTGTCTCATTATAAGTACAGCCTTTCCCTTGCCTCAGTGGCAGGCAGGGTAGGGGAGAGCTCTTCCCAAGATGAACCCTGAAAGTGGCCCAGAGGTGAGGGTGGGGCAGATTCTGGATGCTTTTGGTAATGGATCCTGGATGGGGGGGGTAGCAGGGGGAGGAATCTGGTGGGTGGCAGGGAGGTTTCTCTCCAGGCTCATCTGCTGGTGGTGCTTGGAACCCGCGCCCCAGGAAGGAGCCTTGGGGAGCGCTTGTCTGTTTCATAGTCTCTCCTTCTTGTCTGAGTCCTTGATGTGGGGCAGCTCAGTGGGACTGTCTTCAGGCTCTCCCCTGAGCCTCCAGCCAGAAGTCTGCATTCAGCTGTGACTTCTGTGTGTGCACAGGAGAACAGAGAGATGAGTCGGGGACAGAGACACAGGCTTTCCTTGGGCCAAGGAATAGCTCTCCCATCTGCACAGGGGGAGGCTACTCTGGGCCTGGTCCCCCTCTTATGGGTCACTAGACCCCTTCTCAGCCTTTACCCACTTTCTTCGACCTCTTCACCTGGAAGGGAAGACTCCCCACTTCCACAAGGCAGGCAACCCAGCAGCCAGGCGTGTCCCACTGTGGGGCAGGTAGGGGCGGGTGCCCCTGATGCTGAGTTGCGAGATTGGGGAGCCCATGTCCCCAGAGGCCGGGCATCACTGGAGGTGGAGGGGCCTAAGGGATGACTGTACAGGCAGGAGCCGCCGGACTTTTTTAGCATCAGCTGGTAGAGCCACCTCCTTCTCTCCCACTGGCTGCCTTCCTGAGTCACTGCCCACCCACCAGCAAATAAAAAAGGGTGTCATCTGCTGGCCAGTGGCCCCGTTTGGCCTGGTGTTTGCATCTTTTTGCTCCTGGGCAGGATGTGAGAGTTGGATAGAGTGGTCTGTGAGCAGTCTTCCTTTCCGCGCAGCCCTCCTTCCAGCGGCTTCCTTCTCTGCCCTTTGTTCCTCCCCTCCCCCACCCCCAAGATGGTTCTCCCTGGTGACAAGACCCGGCCCCTTGCTCCAAGGACAGTGGCAGCTGCAAGTCCTCAGGAGCCCCCACATGGCCCCATCCATCTAGACAGGCCTGTGATCCGGGCTGCAGGCAGGGGAGGGGACCGGGCCGCTGGGCTGGAGCCTCCTCCCGCCAGCCCGCTGGTTCAGCTGTCAACACTCGCCTCCCGGCCTGGCCCTGCCCTTCCTGGCTGCTCACGCCAGGGACTCTTCGCCAGGGAGACCCTTACCCAGACCCAGGCAGGGGTGGGCAGGCGGCAGGCAGACACCCTTCCTGCCCTTGAGCATCCCCAGGCCTCCTTGCCTAAATAAGGGAGCTGCAGCTGGAGCGAGCCAGCTGGCGGGGGAGGGGCCTGCGGCAGTCCAGGGTTTTCCGAGAGGCAGGGCCGTGGCAGCCACCGCAGCGCCCCGAGCCCGCCGATTGGGCCTGCGAGGCCGCCCCGCGCTGAGGGGGGAGGGCAGGCCGCTCGCACACACGGGGATCCCCTTGCTGGAACCTCGCGTTCAGGGGCTTCTCTTTGATCTCGCAGCTTGAAGGCTGCAACTCCAGCCGGCATGTCGCTGTCTATGCCTGCCCCCCATGGAGAGCCTCGAATGACCTCCCAGAGGGCCGTGTCCGCGCGGGTGCGCATGGAGGCGCCCGTCCTGGGGCTCGCCATCCTCGTCCCAGTGTCTACTGGCCTGGGGCCTCCCGAGTGCCTGGCCCTTCCCCTGGCCCGAGTCTCCCCTGACCCTGCACTGGTCCCGGAGCCTAGGCCCTCGCCCGTCCCCCACCCTGGGCTCTGAGCGCACACTGTGTGCACAAAGCCGGTGCTCGGTCCTCTCGCTTCACATCAAGGTTCTCTGCCCCCAGCCTGGGTGGGGGCGGAATCCCGACTCCCACTGCCCGGCGGCCCCCGAGCCGGCCCAGCCATCGCACCTGTCCCCTGGCGCCCCTCCCCGAGGGCCCCTTCCCCCTCTCCGCCTTGAGCGAGTCCCGGGGGCTCCGCCACCGAGCGAGGGGCTGGGCGGGGGGAGCGCTCTGCCGGGTTC